GGGTGCTAAGTTGTGGTGACCATCCACATTGGGTGTGCGGGGAAGAAGGCGAATGATCCAACATTAGTTGGTGGAGGCAATTTCAGACAAGGGGGTAGATCATAATTGCAGCGAATAGAGTAATTTGTCCCATCTCAGTGACAGTTGAAGAGGACGTTGTAGTCGAAGGATTAGAACTTCCCTTGGAACAAAGTTTGTTTACACATGTAGTTCCAGCTGGACACTGACTGCAACTTGTGCCACTTGTGTATGGCTTTACGCCCATGTAGTTACCCCTTGAACAAAGACAACAGTTTTATCCCATCCCATGATGCTTGGTACAAATCTTTCAACTTACGGTGGTTTATACTGGCATGCAAGTAGATATATTGGCGGGCCCCAGCCTGGCATCATACCATCGCATTGTTTAACTGCACACCCAAGCTCCTCAGACGTCGCCCAAACCACCTTTTTAACAAAGAAAAAAGACCACCTGAATGGATGATATGTCAAATGGCTCCCCAGTATGTTATTATGGCTCTTCAGCTTTACGCATTGCATAACTAGTCACACAACAGTAGAGATTGGATAATTGGTGAAACGCCAAAACTTCGATGAGTCTGTATAAACTTTAGCAAAATGTTTCAAAATTGTCTGTAAGAGATCATAAGCTCACCTGCGTGTAGTGCCCACACACTTTACCACTTGCACAGGTGTTTGAGCCGTAATTGTAATCATTGACTTCATTCCACCACCCCGTCGCCTGTGCGACCAAGTTACGGCCAGAACCACCTGAGACAGCAAGATTTTGTCCAATGCCACTGTATTGGGGATATTGGCTTGTATCCGGATGTTCAAACTTGCATTTGGCCACCCAGTCGATCGCCAACTTCTCCAACTCCGCACTGTACACCTTCAGCAACATATCGCAACATTACCATCGCTTTTGCATTGAGCAGAGTGAGGTGGGCTATTGCACTTCAAGGAGGTGATGTGTGGTAGATGCAGGTAGAGACAATCACAGAGGCTGGTGGAAGGCATGTCGGTGGGATTGTGGCACAAATGCAAACTCACCATTTCAAGCATATTAGTGGCGGAGGGGTTGACAGTTGCCCGTTTGTTGTTGTGAAAGTTGAGAAGGTCCTTGCGCTCCTGTTCAGTCGGAGCTTCGGAGGCGACGAGTGACACCAAGAGTAGGGTGCAGATCAACTTGGCCATGGTGCCTGGAAGGGAGTTGTGAATGTGAAAATAAGTGTGCTTCATGGAGGGGAGTCTTGCAAACTTACAGTTGAGCAACAGGTTGCACGAATGGCTCTGGTTGCTGTTTGCTGTTAATCTTTATAGTTCGTTTTGTGTACTTTTCGGCAAAATTTCAATCACATGGTTTAAACGCGGAATGTACGTGTGAAATTCTGCTGGGGTTTTGGCATACCATGTTTTTTCTAGTTTTAAATAGGCATAACACACTAATGTGGCTGTTACTTACACTAAGATAGAACTATTCCGTTTATTTTATGCCAATTACTTGACAAATCAAGGTCATTGTCTCAAGTAATCAACTATACTAGACATGATTCAAAGGCAGATTGAATGGTGAAAGTGTAGATGAGGTGTGAGACATGCAGATGGATGCGAAGTGGGTTGGGGAGATGTCAGTGCATGAGGTGTCAGTCTCAAGCGTGGAAGCAGGTGGCAGCTGCTACCATAACAAAGCGCAGCACCACTCTGCCCTGCACTTCACTCTACTGGACCACAAGGACATCCACCTACCACGCTAACATCCACCCACCCCTACCACAGTGGCAGCTAATGTCAGAAGTCAATGCACTGCATTGCCACCCCATTCAACAGCTCGTTTC